TGGGATTATGGTCAGCATGGACTGGTTGGACCGAAGGGTCTGTTTCCGTGTTGTATGACTCTATGACTTTAACCATGATGTGTAAAGAGGCAGGGAGGTGACAGAGACAGCTATCTGAGCTATTGTGACAATGACCTTCATGAGGTCTCTCATGTGTTGGAAATGAGGCTGGAGCTTCTGGGTGGGAACAAGGTTTTTAGAAGAAGGCTTGGAGCCGGCAAAGAAGTCAGGGGCTTTTGTCATGTTCTTGGATGCTCTCCTGGAACGTTCTCCCAGGAGGGCACATGCTCAGATGGTCCTGGGGTAAAAAAGGCCAGGTTAACCAATCAGACAGTAGCATTGCAAACAAGACATTGTGCTTTCTGGCCATCCAGCTCACTGATGCCATCTGCCATCAGAAAATGGTGCAGCACCCACCTGAACCATGGGAGAACTGAACCAACCGATTGCTATAGCCCCGAGCTCTGCTTCATCTGACTTGTTTTCTGTTTTGTCACAGCTTGACTGTGGTTTGTGCTCTTAATCCAGGGAGTTCTTATGCTTTGCCTGCAGCTGGTTACTGACTGTTAAATGTGCTCTTTCAGAATAACAGTTAGATGCATGCTCACTGTTTAGCTTGTGTTCAGTCCAATAAAGAGATTTACTTTCCTTCCAGTAACATGTCACCTCTGATTCAGAGCAAGCGAACCATTTTTGCAACTCTTAGAGTTTTATAGCTCTTTCACCAGCAAATGTACAGCCCTTAGAATCAGGGCAGGACTCTGTCGCAAACAAATTATGAAATATAAAAAGGCTAACAAGGATGACAAATCTGCTGCGTGCCTCCTATCATGCATCCTCTAACCTCACCAACTCTTGCCTCAGAATTATTCTAATCTCTGAGAGTGAGCAGCACTGCTCAGAAAAACAGAGCAAATGCGCCCTGCGCACTTTGAGAGATTTTACTGTTTAATTCAGAGGTATTCCCCATTCACCATCTTCAGACATTGCTGCCACAGGACCTGAATCTTGCTGAAGAGAAACATGTACCTGAAGCTTTTCCACTTTCACTCATCAGGGCAAAAAAGACAAGAATGCCTCAAACAGTCACAAGAGAAAAGGGTATAGGATGGCTCTGAGGAGTGCAAGACAAAAAGCTTTGTAACACACCTTTTCTTTTTTGTAGAAAGACATTCCAGTCACTCATGTCAAGTGTTAGAGCCAGTGGATGGAGCGGTGTGGTTCGTTTATTTCAAATGGTGTGAAAATTAACAAATTAAACTCATATTTGCCAGGAGTATGAATGTGACAACAAAGTAACTTGACAGATCTGTCACCTCGTCAGTTTGTACAAGTGAGGCCTTGCCTTTCCAAAATCCACATACACACACACACACACACACACACAGATACACACAAACACACCCACCCACCCACAATCACACAGTCTCTCACACACATCCACACACACGCGAGGACACACACACACACACGTGCGCACAGACCCAAACACACACACGTGCGCACAGACCCACACACACACACACGTGTGCACACACACACGTGTGCACACACACACACGTGTACACACACACGTGTGCACACACACACACACGTGTGCACACACACACACACGTATGCATGCACACACACACGTGTGCACACAGGCACGTGCGCACACACACACACGTGCGCACACACACACACGTGCGCACACACACACACGTGCGCGCACACACGTGCGCACACACACACGTGCGCACAAACACACACACACGTGTGCACACAAACACACACGTGTGCACACACACGCACGCGCATGCACGCACACACACACAGACGTGCACACACGTGTGCGCACACACACGTGTGCACACGCGTGTGCAGACACACACGTGCGCAGACACACACGTGCGCACACAAACACACACGTGCGCACACAAACACAAACGTGCGCACACACACACAGACACACACACGGGTGCACACACACACAGACACACACAGACACACACACGTGTGCACACACACACAGACACACACACACGTGTGCACAGACACACACACACACGTCCACACACAGACACACACATGTGCACAGACACACACACACGCGCGCACAGACAGACACACACGCACGTGCGCACAGACCCACACACACGCACGTGCGCACAGACCCACGCACACACACACGTGCGCACTGACACACGCACACACAGACGTGCGCAC